CTGGGTCTTGGTTTTCCTTTGCTGTAGTTGTGGAGAGAAAAATCTGTGATGCAGACTGAAGTCCTGCGCCTGTGTGAGCCCGCCTCCAGGCTGGCCAGGGTACAGAAGGAGGAGGGATAAGGAGTGATGGTTGGGCGCTGTCCACATCCAGACTGCAGCACAGCTGTACAGGGCCACTCAGATGGGGCCTGACCCCTGAGCAGCCCCTGCAGGCTGAAGCTGGGGTGCGGGGCACAGTGGGGCACTTTGGGGCGTGGGAGCTGCCTCCAAAGTGCAGGTATGCACGTGGGAACTGCTGGGGCCAGCCTGGTGGGCAGCAGAACTGGGCTCGCAGAGGAGGAGAGCAGGAGGATGGGTCACAGCAGCTGCCAAGTCTGCAGTAGACAGAGGCACAGACTGGGAGATGTTGGACGGGAGGTCCCAGACAGGCGGATGGTCAAACGGGCCTCAGAGAGGAGGCTGCACTGGGCAGAACTGTGGCTGGGAAAGGTACCACCGTCCTCCTGTGGCCTGCAGGTGGCTCTGTGGTGGCCCCTCCTGATGTGCTCATGACTCACCTTTGAGGTCACATGTACACACACACTTTGTCTCCCCAGTGAATGAGGTTGGCATGCATTTACTCAGCTTTCTAAGCTAGCAGACAGTCTAGAAGTCAGGTGAGGTCAAAACATTGGATGGCTTTTGGAGTTTTCCCTAAACTTTATTGCTGTTGGCTGAATAAATTTGATGTCAGTGAAGAAGTCCTGTTACATGAGAGAACTGAGTTGGATACTTGCTGTAGGAAAGCTGCGTTCCCCAATTAAGTGCTGCAGTGTTCAAATGCTGGCCTTGCCATCCGCCAGTGTGATGTTGAGCTGGCTATTTCGCTGCCTCTTTTTTATCTGTGAAATGGAGCTTATGAGTGTGTGACTGTTTTATCTTTTAAAGTTCAGGAGAAGTAGTGCATCTTAGATACACATAATGTGACTGAATGCAGCTTGGAGCTGTCTGATTGCCGCAGCAAGTCGGGGAGGTCGTGCCTTGCGAGTCAGGAGCCCAGAGCAGTGGGCTTGCAGGCCTGGCTGGAGTAGGACACGCGAGGGCTGCCATGTCCTGTGCCTGTGCTCAGCACTGCTGCATCAGGACTCAGTGTGGAACGGAGAGCTGTGCCCCATGGGAGCGCTCTGCCCTCCTCACCTGCTTCTCCTGTTGGTCTTCTGTCCCTGTTCCTTCAGAAGGGCATTCAGTGCTTGATTGTAGCAGCTGTCTTTTAGCTGGGAGCTAAGCAGCCAGAAAACAACAGTTACTTTTTCGCTACAGACATGTAGTCCTGTGCTTCGAAACCAGGGAAGCTGCACAGTGCTGGAGAGAGCTGGACGGCCAGAGAGCTCAGTCACGTTGGTGCCGCGGGCGCATCCTGAATGGCCAGCTGGCACGTGCTGGCGCCCGTCTTTTCTATTGTGTGTGATTTACAAACAACTGCTTTGTTTTTGTTACCGTGCTCTCTCCCTTTCTGCTTTCTTCCATCCTGTCTTGTGTGCTTTTTACTGCATCTGCAAGACTGCACTGCACTTAGCTGCCTTTGCTCCATGGGCCTCCCTGGTGCAGCAGCTGTTCTGACTACTGCATAGAGGATTGTAAAGTTACAAATGGATGCTGATTTGTCTGTACTGAGGTGCATTTGGTAGAGGCAGACTCACCTTTCCTGACCCTTTGAGTTGAATTTCAGTAAATTCTTTATTGGCCTATTCTTGGTTTGTTTTGTTTTGTTTTGTTTTTCTGTCTTACAAGTCCTAGACATCCCTTGCAGTGCTTTAATTTTAGCATTACCAGTGAACTTCTTGTGACTCCTGTGTCATAGTTTTCATGAGCAATCCAACTGTGGGATGGAATTCTTCAATTTTCATTTTCTCCACAGATCTTAGTTGTGATCACCCAAGTACTTGAATTTTCATGTTTGTAAGCAATGCCAAGAACAGCTTGGTGCGTGGTGCATGCTGGAGAACCAGATGCCCATCTGGCTGCTGGCTGGGGACGTTTGCCCTCCGCTCCTAAGCAGTACGGTTTTCCATACTGTGAGCATCCAGCACAAGCCTTGGTGTTGGGGGCCCCTCTGTTGAGGTTGCATGGCTTGGAGCTGCTGCTGTGCTGTGAACGGGTGGCATGGTCCCAGGCTGCTGGCCCAGAAGGGCTGTGGGTGGTGGTGGCTCTAGGGGACCGGCTGGGGGTGAGCACATGTGTGCCACTTGTAGATTTTTAACTTTGTCCCCACCTTTCTATTTTGAAACTCAGATTACATAACATTTGAGTGTCCAGTGAATATACACAGGCTTATTCCCTGCCTTGGCCCTGTGGCATGTTTGGCATATTCCTGTGCCTGTACATATAAAACAGTTGTTTTGCTCACCCATTGAGGATTGCAGATGTCATAACGCCCAAGTACACCCTAAGCTGACCTCTAACCACATACCTTCTCTCACAGTTCTGCTACCACATCTGCTGCCCAGCAGTTCTGTGTGCTTGTGCACAGTGTGACCAGAAGTGGTCATCATTTTTAATGATTATCCTTCCCTTTTTTATTATAGAAAAAGATATGTGGCCCTGAATCCCATCAAAATATTCCCCTCCGTATATACATCCATCACTCTTGCCACTCTCTGCAGCAGCTCTGGAAGTCCTCTTTCTGAATGTCTTCACACGGTGTGACTGAAG